AGGACAATTCAGTATTGAGAGGTTATATGGCAGTGTCACCCTTGCCTGATTGAATGCTCTTCCTAATCAACCGCAGTTCAGCGTGTTAACACTTGTGCCACAGCGGTGACTTCCCGTACGACACCTGTGTTTGACTTCTCAAGTTGATATGTCGTTTTCTCGGGCTGAAGGTAGCAGTTAGAGCGCAGGCAATTTTACGACTGCCGCGACTGGGAATTGAACTCGGGACCACGAGGGTTGGAGTCCAGTGCTCTAACCACTGAGCTATCGCGGGAGTCATATATATATATATATATATATATATATATATATATATATATATATATATATATATAAAAAATATATATATATAAAAAAATATATATATATATAAATATATATATATATATATATATATATATATATATATATATATATATATAAATATATATATATATATAAATATATATATATATATAAATATATATATATATATATAAATATATATATATATATATATAAATATATATATATATAAATATATATATATATATATATATATATATATAAATATATATATATATATATATATATATATATATATATATATATATAAATATATATATATATATATATATATATATGTATATATATATATATATATATATATAAATATATATATATATATATATATATATATATATATATATATATATATATATACACACACACACATATACATATACACATATGTATGACTGCCGCGATAGTCCTATTTACTAGGTCTTTGAGTAGTTTCTGTCTGATAAGAACATTATATATAATATATAAATATTGTACATAAATGAAATGCATAAACGGATAAAATAATAAAAATGCGAATTTTCACGACTGATGAAGAAAGTAAACACTTGCCCCACTAGGTATGCAACAGATATCCAAAATAATCATGAGGGTAACATATAAAATCAAAATAGATCATAATGTAAAAAGTTTGAAGAACTATGATCATTTAGACTGAATAATTTCTCCCACTACTGAGATACTGAAAGTCTCTCTCAACCTATCTGAAAGCAATGAAGTGTGGCATGACAGATGACTGCTTGAAATATTACAGATTTTGACAGATTTCTGTTTTTCCATTTTTTTTTTTCTCTTCTTCTCCTTCTTCTTCTTCTTCTTCTCTCTCTCTCTCTCTCCCCCCCCACACACACATCTTACTAGGTCTATATATTTGTTGCACATATGTAAAATATTTCTTTATTATCCAGTCGGTGTTCCACTGCCTTATATTCCATGATTTATAATGTGGAATCCATATAAAATTAAGTGAGAGAGAAAATATTTAGGTACAGTTATAAAACAATACAATAAAAAAATGCTGATGTCTTATATACATTACCCGTGTCCTTGCAGTACTGTTACTTCATCTGGCATAATTGCTTGTAGTGCTTCAATCTCTTCAATAATTCTGAAAGCAGAAA